TCTGAGAATCTCAGGGACCCTGAGAATCGCTGATGTTTTCTTGGGATGGCATCTGAGCTCGCCCGCGCATCTCCAGGGGCTGCTGCGTTCCTGCTTCCGCAGAGCCCGGTGCGCTCCCGGCTGGGGGTTGGGGGGAGGCGCCTCGCTGTGATTGGCTGAGCCTGAGGCTGTTGCTAGGCTGCCAGTCCGCGGGAGGCTGAGACCCCAGAGTCCCATCCTCCAGGGCAGATCCATCCCACACAGCCGACCTAATTCAGGCACCCCGTGAACGGGATCCCCAGCCATTGAAATTCTCAGCTGCCAAGTGCCTATCTTTTTAGGAGTTTTCACTTAGCAAGAGGCCTTGTGGAGGATGGAAAGGCAAATCGTTTTTATTCAGAGTCACCTTGAATAGCTGCTTCTCTGTGGGGACTTCGATGTCCTCCTCCCATTGCTGGGGTTCATTCATTTATTCATTATTCAAGTATGCATTCATGTTCATTAAGTGTCTATCATGTTCCAGGTGCTCTATCAGGTGCTAGGGACAAAGAGATGGACTAGAGAGAGACCATACTTGCCTTCACAAAGGGAGAAACAGGAGGAACTTAGCAAATAAAGAAGATAAACACGCATCTAATTATCCTTTTCCTTCCCCTCCAATGATTTTTCTACCCCCACCCCCTTCCTTACTAGTTCTGTAGGCTCTCCCAAGTTGACAGGGGAGAAATGCTGCAGCCAGCCCTGCCTGTACTACATCACACCATGAAACACACGCTCTGAAACACCCTCACCTCCACAGCGCTTTGGCCGCTCTTTTGCATCCACTCGCGAGCCTGAGCACACCTTGATAAAGGTGTTGCACAAGGATCATTGCCCCTTATTCAGGTGAGAAAGCTGATAGGCAGAAACATTAAGAAGGCTTTTCCATGGTCACATGGGGAATTATTGGCATACCAATATTGAGCACTTACTATGTGCGGGCACTTAAAAAACCACCTGCCTCCTGCCTCCTAACAAGTCAGCAAAGTAAGTGTCATGAGTCCCATTTTATAGATGGCAAATTGAGGCTGGAAGAAGTTACATCACTTGCCAATGATAGCCCAGATAGTATGTGGCAAAGCTGGGATTTGAACCAAATCTGTCTGGCTCCAATGCCTGAGTTCTTTCCAAGAAATAGATCTGGTCATAGAAAAGAGTAAAAGACTCTGAGTGGCTGAGATTTGGAGCAGTTTCCAAATGACCTCAAAACTTTCCAGGCCCAGGATCTTATTTATGTATTTTCCTACTGGAGTTTTTTAGCACTACAGGCTCATAAAACCTGGTCAATTGGCCGCACTTACCAATATAGCTAACTCTGTTATCTACCCATCTATTTGGGATGATCGTGCCTTCAAGCTTTTATTGAGTAATTAAGTCAAGTAGCTCTTTCTTGTGACCATCTCCATTATTTGCTTTGCCTTCCTCTCAGGTTTTCATTTTCCTTTGTTCACACACTGAACGAACACTGAGCACCCACCAGCCAGTCATGGTGGGCATAGGTGAGCATGGCTCATCTGTGCCCTTGAGGAGTTCCCAGCTTATAGCAAAGGCTTCTGAAGGGCCTTCTCTGGGCAAAGCACCATGATAGACCATAGAAGGAGAGGAAGACCACCAGGACCAGCCCTCAGGGAATCTCCTTCTTGGCTTGGGAGACAAACTCACCACGCTTAGACAATGCAAAGGTGTGAAAGGACAAGGCAGGTGTTGGCTGGGGGTGGGAGCAGCCAATTTTGAGTTTCCTATGGTGCGGTTTTTAAATCCTGCCTTGCTGTAGTCAGTGTAGGACACTGTCTCAGAGGCCAGCAGCCCACAGCTTGGAAGGAGGCCTTTAAATGGGAGAAGGTGCTAGAAAGTACAGAGAAGCATAAAGAAGCAAGCTAAATTTATCCCTCCTTGCAGTACCCGGCAATTGCTATGCTTAACACTAGACTTCCTACCCACAGAGACTTGCTAACCAGATTAGTTGTTTTTCCCACAGTTATGGGCCAGGCGGGGGTGGGGGAGGGGTGGGGGTGAGTGAGGGAGGCGGGTGGAGAGAGAGAGCAACTGACTCTGAAGACAGAGACACACAGAGACCTGAAGAGAAGCAGAGATAAAGATGTCTGTTGGTGTGCCTCCCCCTTGAGCATCAGGAAAGAATATTCAACTGGGCACCTGAGTGGGAGAAATCAGACAATCTCCTGTCCCCTCTGTCCCTGGCTACATGATTCTGGCTAGGACATTGCTAATTTCCGAATAGCACTGTTTTTGGATATAAGTATATTGGTGATGTCTACACTATTTCTATTATCTTTGCCACTGCTCTGTCCCTGTCACCTCCACCACCCCTGAAAAGCTGAGTTGACTGTAAATGGATAATGTAAAACAGCGATGATTAAAATAAGCATTACAAGACTAAATGTGCACACACCTTTGACCTGGCATTGTCACCTCTATTCCCATCCTTAGGAAAATAAAGAAGGACATGAGCAAAGAATTTCACATGAGATTATTAATTGCAGCATTGTTTATCAAAGCAAGGAAACAAACTAAATAGCCAACACGTTTTGGGGACCTGCTTAATAAATAACCTTATAACCTTAAAGTAACTTTCCATGCTGCTTGTAAATTAGGTTATAAGTGGGTACTTATTGATGTGTAAAGACATGAATAGGTGGAAAAAGCAAGTTACAAAATAGTGTAAATAGATTGACTCCATAAAAGTATTCTTATAAGTAAGAATAAATATAAAATAGAGAGTTAATCTCTGGGTGAAGGGATTCTAACTCATTTTAATTTTTTTCTTTTTGCTTATCTGCATTAAAACATTTCCCCCCCACAATGAACATTGTATTTCTCATGCGATAAGAACAAATTTCCTTCCATTGGTCCCAGCGAGTGCCTCCTGCCAGGAGTCCAGGACTACATGGGCAAACTGAACCAGCTGCTCCTGGCTCCCAGGCATTGTGGGAAAGGCCACCAAGCCTTTTGTGACTACTTCAAGTTGCTCATTAAGAATTCCAAAGACAGCATGTCCCCATCCTAGTTTGACTCCCCATCCCAGCTCGCCTAGTAGGCGAGAACTCAGTGACCCAGCACCTTGGAATTCAAATGCCCACTTGTTTCATAACCTGCTGGTAGGTTGGCCGCCACCTTCCCTTGAGGGAAAATGCTCTTTGTACATGTTGGACACCGTAAAGCTAACCTCACTAACGCCGCAGGTGCTTCCCCCCTCCCAGGGATGTCCTCCTCTCAGGGGGTGACAATTAAGATGCTCTGTTGCTCAGATCAGTCCCTACTACACATATGTGGCTGTGATTCTAAATGTTGGTGAGAAAGGCTGTCACCATGGCAACCCAGGCTCGCTCAGCCTCTGGGATCAGCCAGGAAAAGAAGGTGGGGTGGGACTCAGTCAGAACAAACACTGCCTGGCTGTCTCATCTCAGGAAGGACACTTAGTGATTCTCTGACTCAGTTTCTATATCTGCAAAGTGATGTGGAAGCTCCTTATCCTATTCACCTCCAGGATTAATGAGAAATAGCCTGTGAACTATAAAACACAAGAAGAGTAGAGCATCAGTAGCCTTGGTTTGTCCCCACATTGCTGTGTGTGACTTTTTGGGCAAATCACTTAACTCTCTGTGCCACAGCTGCTCTATTTATAAATAGAAAACAATGTTCACTGTGACAACTTCCCAGATATATTGTCAGGCTCCTGTGAGAATCCCAGAATCTCAAAATTAGAAGGAATCTTAACCCTAACTGCCCATCCAGGAATCCCCTTGATAAGTTCTCTGACTGAGGTACTTGTCCTGCCTCTGCTTGATTACCTCTAGTGGCAGAGAGCTCATGACTGTACAACTTCTTAGTGGTCATTGCTACATGACACTGATTGTAAGAAAATTCTTCTGTATAGGATGTTCTACAATTAAATATTTGTTTTAAAAAATTTAGCAGTCCTTTTTAGAGCTATTTCCAGTCCTGACTTTATCAGAGAGCTCCCCACAAGACAGAAATTTGCAGCAATTGGCAAGCAGCAGGAATATGCCCGGCTCCAGAAGCTTGTGGCTTAGTTGAGCTGCAGGAGTATGGGTTCCAGGGTCACATTCTAGGTTAAAACCCCACTTTGTCCACTTACTGGGTAGTTGACCTTTGACAAGTTATATTACCATTCTGAACCTCAGTTTCCTGATCAGTAGAGTGAGGAGAAAAATACCTACCTCATAGTACTTCTTAGTAAGCTGTAAACCAGACTTCCCTAGTAGATTCCAGGGATCGCAGGGGGAGGGGCGCTTATATCTTCCTCTGCCACACCCCTGAACAAAACATCTGCCCCCCTCCCCAGCCCCTTCTGGCACATGTGTCCTGGCTGTGCTCCTCCATAAGGGAAGGAGAAGGGCTGTCTCCCCTTCCTGGGGCGCCCGCAGCACAGCTGTCTTCCATGGGTCAGGGCCTTCTCCATCTTGAGCCTGTCCCAGGGGCCAGAAAGGGAAGATGATGCCATGGTTTCAGGACAAAGTTCACCCCTTGCAGTAATCCATCTGCCTCAAGGCCAGCACCCACTCCCTGAACACTAAGCTGGCACTAAATCAGTGTCCCAGGGTGTCACTTGGCGAGGGCTTTCAACTGTTTCAGTGTCTTGATAGGAATCTCATATAGGGCAAAATCCTCTAAGACTCCAAAAGAATATATTCTGGTGGTGGACTGCCAGGCATAGCGACGGGAAGTTGGGGAAAGTGGTCCTTTGCCTCAGTGTGAATGGAGTTGGGATGCCTGGGTCTAGTTCCGCCATTGACTTGCTGTGGGACCTCTGGAGCCGGTGACTTGATTTTTCACTGCCTTGCTTTCCTCCTGTGCAGAATGACAGGTGGGTTCCTGAGCCCTTCTCTGCTTTAGAATTGTAGGTTTTCCCATTCGTTTGATGCAGGATTAGATGGAAAATCGCCGTTGACGTCTCTCGGCCACGGGCACTTACCTCCCACCCCTCTCTGCTTCCTTCACAGAAGAGTACCTCAGAGTCCTTAATGTGGGCGTGGCCGAGGTGAAGAAATACTTCCTGGGGCCCTTGGCCCCCTCCTGCAAGATGGTGCAGATGATGAGGCAGTTTCTGTACCAGGCCTTGCCTGAGGACTCCTACAAGGCTGCCACTGGGAAGCTCCACGTCTGCCTCACCCGGCTCACGGATGGAGAGAGCGTTGTGGTCTCAGAGTATAGGTCTAAAGAAGAACTCATCGAGGCAAGGGGGCGGGACTGGGAAGGGGCGGGGCCCAGAGTGCGGTGGGGATGGTGAAGTTGGAGGGCTAGCTGCTCCTGCTTCTCTTAACTGGTCCCTGGAAGGGTCTACCTGCCCAGCTCCCTTCCTTATATTTTCTGCTTTCCTAGACCTTCCCTTCATTCACCCTCCTGGCATCTCTGTGTCAGGCACCCTGTTAGAGGGGATGGACTGAAAGAAGTCCAAGACAAATCCTACTTGGTCACCATCCTCAAGACTTCAGCACCCAGCATCCCCAGGGGCTCCGCCCCTCCTTTTGCCTCAGCCCTGCCCTCGTGCTAATCCTGGAACTTCTCAGAGGCCACGTGTTACCTGCCGCGGTCCCATGTCTGCTTTAGGGCCTCTCAGTTTGAATTACTCCCCAACTTGTGGGTACAGCCCTCCCCTCTACGGCCCTCTTCCAATGGTCCTTGCAAAAGGATTGAATTATCACTAAACGGGTTATCACTTAGGAAAGTCCCCTCTAACAGTGTATTGTGCTAACCTCATGAATATAAATTATAACTATGAATTACTGTTGCTGGAGAGTGCTGTGGATATACTCAATTTTCTTTCATGATGAAGGAGTTAAGCTGCATGAGCCTCTGTCCTATATTTTTATTTCCCTTCCCTCCCCTGAATACAAGGCCTTTGCCACCCATCCTCACACCCCCACATCGGTCTGGCCATGGCCCTGGGGGTGGAGGATGAGCGGGCAAGGGGCCTGGGTTCTTCCTGCACCCACCTCATGTCCGCCTGGGCTTGTTAGCACCAGCTCTTCCAGACTTTTCTCTCTACCCTTATTCCACCACCTTACACTTCTACCCACTTCACCCAGAACAAACCACACAGCAAGCGGGTCCTCGTGCCTTTGTGCCTGCTGCGCCCTCAGCCTGGGACGCCCTTCTCTCCTTCTCATTCCCCTTCACCTGCTTGAAAAGACTCCAGCCGGGGAACTTTCCTTCATCGTCTGCCTGCCCCACACCCCCCTCGGCTGGGTGCTCCTCCTTTGGGGCCACAGTGCTCACGCTCCCCTCCATCGCAGCACCTGTCACCCCGACTTGCTTACTCCCCCTCTTTCAGCATTCCTGGGTGTGGGCACCTCACCCTCTTTGATGCCAGGGCCGAGCCAGGTATATGTCGATTACATCGATGCTTACTGAATCTGATTGGATTTATGGAAATTTAGCACTAGGAGAGACCCTGGAGATCATTGAGGTCACCCTCTCCCTTTCAAACTGGGAAATCAGGCCCAGGCTGACCAAGTTGGTTACCAAGGACCCAGCTAGTCAGGGCCAGGACAAGGACTGAACTTGGGAGGAAGGCAGTGCCTCTGCCTTGGGTTTAAGGAAGGCCATACTGGTGGGCCCCAGAGGCCTGATGGCCCCAGGCATCTCAGCTGTGTTCTCCCCGCACAGGCCCTGTACTGCAGCTGCTTTGTGCCTGTGTACTGTGGTCTCATCCCCCCGACGTACCGTGGCGTGGTGAGTGCTTCGGCGTGGGAGGGGGGTGAGCCAGGATCCAGGGGTGCCTCAGGGCCCTTGTGACCCACATCTAGGGGAGCAGAAGGGTGGTCTCAGAATTCGGTGGGAAGATCAAGAGTTAGAAAGGCTCCTATGTTTTTGTATTCAGAATTCCCAGCATAGATGGGTTTCTGGGGCTTTAAGGTGAACTTTCCCAACTAGGTTGGGCTTCTCACTGGACACACCAATTGTTTACTGAACCTGGCAAATCAAGATGCCGCAGGCTTTCCAGATTTTCTCAGACTCAGCAGAGAATATTAAATACAGATCCTGCCCTGGCTAGTGTGCCTCAGTGGTTGGAGAGTCCCATAACCAAAAGATTGTGGGTTCGATTCCTGGTTAGGGCACATACCTAGGTTGCAGGTTCATCCCCAGCCCGGGTGCGGGCCTATGCAACCCCTGGTCCAGATGCGTAGGATCCCCAGTCTGGGTGTGTACGAAGGCAACTAGTTGATGCTTCTCTCCCATTAATGTTTCTCTTTCTCCTTTCCTCTCTCCCTTCCTCTCTCTCTCTAAAAAAGCAAATGAAAATGTCCTTGAGTGAAGATTAAAAATTTTGTTTAAATAAAAAAGACCCTACAACGTTGGGTTCTGAAACCTTGAATGATGGAGACCTTCCAGGTCATCTAAGCTAGTGCCTCGGAAACTTTAATGTGCCCATGAATCACCCAGGAATCTTGTAAAATAATGCAAATTCTGACCCAGTCAGTCTGGAGCAGGGCCTGAGACTCCGCACCTCTGACAAACTTCTGCTGGTATCGATGCTGCTGGTCCCCTGCTGGTCCCCAGGTCATGGTCTGAGCCAGAGGATCTAGCCCATGCCCCTTCCTCATTTTATATGTAGAGAAAATGAAATTCCAGAGATTAAGAATCAGCTAGCAGATGGAGTCCAGCCTGCACGTCAGCCATGTACTTCTCAGTTACCCCAGAGAGTTAGAGCCTCAGTATTTGTGGTCCTTTGTTCATAGCTGAGGAAATAGAAGCCCCAGAGGAGAAGGGACTGGAGGGTGGACACATGGTAGCCGGTCAGGGGTGCCCTGTAGAGTGTCAAAGGTACCTGACCTCAACAGGGAGAGGCAGTTTGGATCTGTAGCAGTCTGGAGAGGGACCATTTCCTAACCTGCTCAGACCCACCATGCGTTTCCTTCTCAAAAGGCCATCGCGACAAATTCTATTCCCTAAGCCTTCCCTCAGCAGTTGAGTGACCCCAGGAGGGGTAGCCTGAGATGAGTGGCTGTGACAGGGAGCATCCGCTCCTGCTTTATCCAGTGTATGGATGCTTCTTCCCCAGAGAAACCTGGGAACTCTGTCTCAGCAGCAATAAGATGGCTGAGGGTCCCCGGGCAGGAAGAGAGCAGGCCTGGAGTTCAGAGGCCACCATGGACTTACCAAGTGACCTTGGGCACACCACTCACCCACCCCCACCTTGGTCTTGGGGCTTGTCCTGAGGGACCCATTTCCCTGGTGTATCCCGCTCTGACCCCACACGAGCATTTCTCCCTCTGCCCCCTGCAGCGGTACATCGACGGGGGCTTCACAGGCATGCAGCCCTGCTCCTTCTGGACTGACTCCATCACCATCTCCACCTTCAGCGGGCAGCAGGACATCTGTCCCCGGGACTGCCCCGCCATCTTCCATGACTTCCGCATGTTCAACTGCTCCTTCCAGTTCTCCCTGGAGAACATCGCCAGGATGACCCATGCCCTGTTCCCTCCAGACCTGACGGTGAGAGAGAGGGACATGGAGGGGTAGGGGATGGGGATGGGGGCAGGGGCTGGGGTGCAATGGGGGAGCCCATGGGGCCCACTCAGTTTCCTCTGTGTCTCCTCCCTTCAAACTATCCCTTAAACTTCCTTCTAGACCCGTGTCCTGGCCTTTTCACTAATGAGCTGTGGGACCTTAGCAAATCCCCTGATGGCCCCCATTCCCAATGTTCTCCCCTGTAAAACAAGGTGATGTCAGAATCGCTGATGAGAATGTTACCTGAACGCTGATGTGCACTGTCGGGTCAGCAAACTGTGGCCCATGGGCCAAATCCAGCCTATGGCTCTTTTTTGTACACCCTGTAAGCTAAGAATGGGCTTTTCATTTCTAAAGGGCTGTAACAAAGGGAGAAGAAGAAATGACAGAGACTGTATGTGGTCTGCAAAGCCCCAAATATTTACTACCTGGCCGTTTAAGGAAAAGGCTTTGTGGGTACTCTTGCATGATCCTTCAACATCCTCTGCGATAGATACTATTATTATCCCCATTTTACAGATGAAGATACTCAGACTGTGAGAGGTTACATCCACACAGCCACACAGCCAGTGGCAGCGCTGGGATTTGAACCCAGTCTCCACACTTTGCTCTTCATATGGTCCAAATGCACCTTCTCTGCTTCTGCTATCAACATCTCAGCATCTCCCACCCTGGGAAGCTGATGGTTGCCTGTGAATGGCTTGACACATTAACATAGCATCACTATGGACCCATGACAAGGAACTGCTCCCAGTCCTTAGCAGAGAATCAAGGATGGGACACTAGATGGGTACATTTTGAAGATCCCATCAAATAAAGCCTAAGACCAATGAAAGCAGCTGCTCTGGGTGAGGGGACCGTGGCTGTCGCTGTTGCTGCAGCCTGGGTTTTTTCCTGGTGTGCCCATCTTGCAGGTCCTGCACAATTACTACTACCGAGGGTACGAAGATGCCGTGTTGTACTTGAGGAGGCTGAGTAAGTACCACGTGGACTCCGGAGGAGGGAGGCTTGGAGGGTGAGTAAAGACAGGAGGTAGGAGGGCTCAGGAAAGGAACCCCCAAATTTGTGGCCTAAAGGTGACCTTCACCCCAGAAGGCCAGAAACGGGTGCAGGGACCCGACAGCCTGCCTTGTCCAGGACAGGCCACTGCAGCCAGAAATTAGGAGCTCTGTGCAAAAGGGGCTTTTAGATTAACTGATGGGACAGTGTCTAGGGCTTTGTACAAATTTATTTCTGGATTTAAAAACTGTCTTTAGGAAATACATAGCTCATATCTTCTATTTTCATGTCATTCCATTCTCTTCCATTTTTATTCTCTTTCCAATAAAACCGTATTATTAATGTAGAAATAGATGTGACTAATTTATATTTACCTAAGACTTTGAATGACATATTGATCAACAAATGAGAGAGAAGAGCCCTTGCCCTATGTTGGTTTGGAAATAGTAAACAGTAATGGAAAAAATTACAATAAAAATAAACTACTAAATAAAGAGAGGGAAAGAAATCATGGTCCCCACACCTGTGCATCATCGGGTAGAAGGAAGATTCTAATGACATGTATCACACACTCTAGCAGGATGAAGGCCACGGCAGACATCTCTGTTAAAAGGAAAGAAGAAAAGCTTTTCCATATTTAGAACATATTCCATAGAACATATTTAAAAAAAGAAAAAGGGTTGCTGAATCAAAGGTCATTTACCGATGTTCTAGCATGTTTTTTCCATGTTGTCATATGGTCTTTATAATTGTTTTTTGGGGAAGTTGTATAATATTCTATCACAGTTGTACATAAAACTTTGATCATTCTTTTGTGTTTCCAAGTGTTCAATAAGCAATGCTGTGGTGTACATTTGGTGTATATGGTTTTTAAAAATATTTGGGGAGTGAGATTAAGGGGTTGAATGAGGCTTTTTCCTAAGGTATATTCACTTTTTTCTTTCAAAACTGCTTCCTGCTTCCCCAAGCTCCCCTGCCCTGACCCTTTACCTTCCCCTGGGCCTTTTCTTCCAACAAGGCGGGAGGTTGGGGAGCCCGAGAGCAGGATGGAGAGAATGCGGGCTCCAGAGGCAAATGGCCTGGGCCAGGGTGCCCGTGCCACAAGCTGTGTGTGCTCAGCGGAATCACACTCCACTGACCCCACTGACCCCACTGAGCCTTGGTTTCCTAACCTGTAAGAGTTTAGATGCTCGTCCCTGACATCTACCAACTGTGTGACCTAGAGCAGGCAGTTAATCTCCTGGGGCTTCCGTTCTCTCATCTGATCATGGAACCTACCTCAGAGGTCACTGGGAAGGTTAAAGGCGTGAAGCCACCTGTGGCCCTTAGCACGATGCTCAGACAACAGGTAGTTCTCACTGAGGACATCAGAGCTCTACGTCCTTGCCATGGCCAATCCAGTCCACTGCCCCCTGTGCCCTTGGAGACAGGCCCCTCCTCCACCTCTCTGCAGGACAGGCTCCTTCTAACCCTGACCCTCTTCTGACAACTGTGCCGTCCTCCACATTTACACAGGTGACATTAAAGCTGTGAAAAGTGAGTCCCAGGTATCCAAGAGGTGAACGACTTGAGGGGTGTCATGGGGATAGAGATAGGGCCTCAGGAATGGGAGGGGCTGGCTGGGGCCAAGGGTCCTTTTGCCACCAGTTAGGGAGCCCCTCCTCACTTTCCTCAGTGGTGGTGTAGGCTAGGGACCCAGGGTTTGGGAAAATCCCCTGATTTGGGGCTCAGGTCTTGGAGCAGACACCAATTTCCTGCCCCAGGAGACCCCGCTACACCCCAGGTTACAGCCTGGCTCCTGGCTGCTCCATACCAGTCTCTCCTTAGAATTTTCCTTTTGCTTCCTCTCAGGGCGAGCCCTGGGGAGAGTCACAAAGTGGATGATAAAGCATCTCTAGTCCCCCCTATTTCTCAGCGCGCCTTCTGCCACCCTCCCACCTCTGGGAGGAACCCAACGCCACCCTGCCCTGTCTTCCGCCTTTTGCCGGCACGGGCATTTTCACAGGCAGGAATGGTGGCCCCAGACCCAAGGATGAAGCTCGAATAGCAGCATTTCAGGCACCCGCTCTTGACTTGGGGCAGTATAAGGAGGCTGGCGGAATTTCCCAATGGCCCTGGAACCACGCCACATAGGAACAGACACAGCTCATAAGGAGGACTAGCTAGTTTTGCTTCCTCTTCCAGTTTGCCAGGGTGTGTGTGACTTTCTAAGGCAGGTTTCAGCACCAGCTAGAGCCTCTTGGGTTCGGTTGGGCTGGATTTGTCTCCCATCACCAGGCGCGAGCAGGAGGTACCGATACAGCCTGAATAAGTTCGGTTTTAATCTCTACTTGCCATCTGGCAACAGAAAAGGAGAGTCACTCCAGCCTCCCTCCCAACTTCTTTCTGGAGGGGCGTGGTCAGCTCTGGCAGGAAGCCACACCCACAGGTGTCACCCTCAACTCAACTCTCACCCTGGCCTCTCTTCCTCCTCCCTCCTAAGGACTCACTTCCGTTCAATTATTCCTGCTGCTGGGCAAGTCTCCCTCTCCACTCTAGGCCTCCTTGGCAGCAGCCTCCTGCCAAAGGAAAGGGCACGCCTCTTGGTGTGCTTAAAAACCCTCATTGCCCACACAGACGTGTGCATGTGGGCGCTGAGTGAGCTTGGACTCAGATGATGCCGTGTTTAAAAATAGCCATTTGGCATCCAGGTATCTCCAGCCAAACCTCCCTACCTTCGTTCTTCCCTCCTTCCCTTCCTTCCTGCCTTCCCGCCATTCTTCCTTTTCTCTCTCTCCCTTTCTTCCTCTCACAAATTGATGTTTTCACACACCTGTGAAACAGCAGCACAAGCAGGGTAGTGAACAGTCCATCCAGCCCGAAGTGTCCTCAGGCCCCGCAGGGATTCTCCCACCTTCCCTCACCGGCTCCCAATCCCCACGTAACCCCTGATCTACTTTCTGTCACTCTAAGTTAATTGCATTTTCTAGGGTTTTTGATAAATTGAATCTTATTATAATATAAAGTCTTTTTTTCTCTGCATCCTTTTACTCAGCATAATTATTCTAAGATTCATCCACGTTATGATAGCATAGTATAACTGGTTCATCCATTTTTACATTCCATTCCATTGTATGAATATACCACCGTTCATTTAGCCACTTACCTGTTAATGGGCATTTAGGTTGCATCTACTTCAGACTATTATGAATAAAGCTGCTATAAACACTCATGTATGTGTTTTTGTATGGACATAATGCTTTTATTTCTCTTGGGTAAATACCTAGTAGTAGAATGATTAGATCATATGATAGATGTGTTGTATATATAAATAAAATTATATATAATTATGTGTAATTATATAATTATATATAATTTGTATATATAAAATTAGGATAAGAGCACATAACATAAAATATACCATCTTAACCACTTTTGCGTGTACAGTTCAGTAGTGTTAAGCTCATTTACACTGCTGTAACTTCCAGAACTTTTCATCTTGCAAAACTGAAACTCCATACCCATTGGCCAACAACTCCCCATTTTTTCCTCCCCCAGCTTCTGGCAACTGCCATTCTACTCCTATTTCTATGAATTTGACTACTGTAGGTACCTCCCATAAGTGAGGCATAGATACAGTATTTGTCTTTTTGTGACTGGTTTATTCACTTGTACTGTTCTCAAGGTTCATCCATGTTGTAGCATGTGACAGCATTTTCTTCATTTTTAAGGCTGAATAATATTCCAACATGTGTATACACCACATTTTCTTTATCCATTTATTCATCAATGGACATATAGTTTTCTTCCACCTCTCGGCTATTGTAGATAATGCTGCAGTGGACATGGGCATGCAAATATCTCTTTGAGATTTGATTTTCAATTTTTTCGTGGTTTTAAGAAAGCACTAAAGTGTTCTCCAAAGTGGTTGAATCATTTTGCATTCTCACCAGCAGTATGTGAAAGCTCCAGTTTCCCCCAATTTTTGCCAACACTTGGTATGGCAGGTGTTTATAATTTTAGCCATTCTAATAGATGCATAGGGGTCTCTTACTATGGCTTGAATTTGCCTTTCCTTAATGACTAATAATGTTGAACATCTTTTCATTTGCTTATTAGTTGTCCAGATGGCTTCTTTGGTGAAGAGTCTGTTCAACTCTTTTGCCTATTTCCCCCTAGACCTTTAATACACTTTATTTTTTTAGAATAGTTTTAGATTTACAGAAAAATATGAAAATAGTACATCCAGATTTCCCTAGTATATGTCCCTAATAAATGTCTCACATTTATTAGATGTTATAGTATAGTACATAGTGTGGTATAGTGTTTATAACTAATGAATCAGTATTGACAAATTATTATTAACTAAATCTATATTTTATTTGGATTTCCTTAGTTTTTACCTAATGTTCTTTTCCTGATCCAGGATCCTATCCAGAATAGCACATTACATTTAGTTGTCCTGTCTCCTTAGGCTCCTCCTCTTTGTGACAGCTTCTCTGACTCTCCTTGTTTTGAATGACTTTGGCAGGTTTTAGTCCCAGACGGATATTTTGGAGAGTGTCTCTCAGTTGGGGTTTGTCTTATGTTTTTTTCCCATGATTATAATGGGGTTATGGGTTTGAGGAAAGAAGACCACAGAGGCCAAGTGCCATTCCCATCACGTGTTATCAAGGGTGCCTACTACCCACGTGACATATCGCTGGTGACACTGACCGTGCTCACCTGGCTGCAGTGGTGTTTGTCCAGTGCCCCACTGTACGGTTATTCTTTCTCCTCTTCCCATTCTGTGCTTTCTGGAAGGAAGTCACTATGTGTAGCTCACACTGACAAGGCAAGGAATTATGCTTCATTTCCTTAAGGTCAGGATGTCTACATAAATTATTTGGACTTCTGCATGAAGATTTATCTCTTCTCCCCCATTACGTACTCAATCATTTGTTTATATATGTATGAACTCAAGTATACTTACTTTTTACTTTGGGTTATTATTCAACTCTATTTTTTACTCAAATTGATCCAGCTTTGGCCATTGGGAGCTATTTCAGTTGGCGTTTTGCTTATTAAAACAAAAAGCAGAATTGTTTGTTTCCTTATTTAAGAGCTTTTATGTTTTCTAGAGAAATGCCCTTTGTCAGGAATATTATTTGTAAATATTTTCTCATAGTCTATGATTTCTCCTACCAGCAACTTTTACATCTACCCATCTTGCTTATCTTAGAAGCCTTGCCCTGGGTCCCTCTTCCTCCTGTCTCCTGACTCAGCCCTGGCCCCTCCCTCTTCTCACTCTGCCTTGCCTCCCTAGGCAGTCTCCTCCACAGCCTCCATCGCAGCTCTGGCTCCACCCGGGGGTTGGGGTTTCTAATATATGTATCTCTAACCCTCATCTCTTCTCTGAGGTCCAAACACATACACAACTGCCCACCTGTCATCTCTCCTTGGGCACCTCCAAGGTCCCCTAAACTCAACATGTCCCCTAACATGTGACCTGTTTCTCCCCGCTCCCCTCCCCATCCCTCCCATGGTCATATTCTCAGCAGGTGGCACCAGTATCCATCAATTGTGCCAGCCACCTACGTCCCCTTATCCCCGAATCAACCCATTTCCAAGTCTCATTCATTTACCTCCTAAATAGAATCTCCCACTATTTTCTACCTTCTTCCAGGTACAAATCCCAAACACCTCTCCACAGCACCCTGACAGGTTTCCCTGGGTCCCCTATAGCCTTGTCAGTGAGTCCCCACACAGCAGCTACAGTGAGCTTGTCAAAGCCAGAGTCAGGCCAGCACCTCTCTGCCTAGAAGTCTCCATGGTCCCCATGAAAACCAAGGGTCCTCCAGTGCTGCCTACCAATTCCTACTGGGCCTGTGATCTGGCCCCTGGGCCTCCTCAGCCCTGTTTCCCACCACAGTGCCCCACCCCGGCTCCAGCCACTCTACCTCTCAGGCCCTCAACGTCCCGGTGCTCCTTCGAGCCTGTGGCCTTGGTGCGTGCTGTTCCCTCCATCTGAACTGCTCCTCCCATCCCAAGCTGACGATTCCCTGGACCACTCGCCCCTCGGTTCTCAGCTTAAATCTCCCTCCCTCAGGGAAGCCTCCCGGTTAAGTTCTCCCTGTCTCCCTCTCTCCTAGTTCTGCATTCCTCCCTTGCCTAACACTTGTCTTGATTAAAACTTGAGATTACTTGAGTGGTCAGTGCTTGCACCAGCACTGGACTGTAAGCTGCAGGACGCCAGGACCAATCATACCTGTTTTTGTCTCCTTCACCTCCTCGGTGCCTGGTGTAATATCTGGCACATATAGATGCTCAATAAATATTCACTGAATAAGTGAATTAATCCACAAACACTCAATGTGAATTCAAGAATGTAAAGAAAGGCCATTGATGAGAACTAACCTTGTTTATAACAATAATTTGGAAAAAAATAATTTTTTGCAAATATCATGTTTATGTCAGAGGTTAGTAATGCCACCTGTGACCCTAGGCTCTTGTTTTTTCTAGATGCAGCTTACCTTAATTCTCCCTCCAAGAGAGTGATTTTCCCCCGGGTGGAAGTGTACTGCCAGATAGAACTCGCCCTTGGCAATGACTGCCCTGAACACAGTAAGCCAAGCGGCCAAACCGAGCAGGCCAGTCTGGAAGAACCCATACGACTTCACACACAACGGGCTCCCACAGGGGAAGGAAGCAGTGGCCATGGTCCACCTGCGTCCCAACCTGAACAGACACCTGAATCCACGCATGAGTGGCCTGTGGAATCGCCCATTTCACCACCTGTCTCTTCATTTGAGCAGTCACCTGCACTGCCACTGGCCTCTTCATCATCACATTCTCCAACTGACTTGCCGCCTGTATCGCTCCCAGCTGCGTCCTCACCACCCAGCTCAATACCTGGTCTATCACCTGTGTCACCACAGCAGCAGCTACGACCGACTGGATCACCACCCAGATCCCCACCCTCCTCATCATCTATGTCATTCAGGCCACGTCTGGCACCTTCAGCAGTGGGGACACCTCAAACGTTGTCCCCATGTTCTTCAGCATCACCTGCACAGCCACCTGTGGAGGAGCTGGTCTCAGAACAGCCCCAAGGTATGACCCCCTGGCTTCTCATGGCATCCTCACGTCTGAAACCCCTTGGAAGCATATGACAATATGGTGGCTGGTAACCATTGCTTTAGAGGGCTGCACTGGTGAAGTTAGTGGTTAGCGGCAGAGGCTCTACCCGGAAGGAAGACAGGCAACCACAAGGGGGCAGTGCACTTGACATTTGTTCATTTCTTTAGCCCGTGATTCTCAAAGTATGGCTTCCAACCAGCAGCAATGTATCACCTGAGAACTCAGTAGAAATGAGAATTTTTAGGCCCTACCACAGACCTACTAAATTACAGACTCTGGTCGGGTGGAGGGTACCCAGCTGTCTTTTTTACAAGCCCTCCAGGTGATTCTTTTGCCCGCTTTAGTTTGAGAACTGCTGTCCCGGTAAACCTTCGTTGTGAAAGCCACTGTGCAGGGACAGTGCTACTCAAAGCGTGGTCGTGGAGCACTGCCAGGCCCCTGACTGTCTGCTACTAGTTCACAGTGAAGTGAGTGCAGGGGTTGAGAGCGAGCAGTTAGAGGTGTTTACAGCAATAAGATATTGCCATGGTGTCAAAGAATTTTCCTAATTCATTTGGTTGTATTTCTCAAAAGTACTACTTTATTATGAATTGCAAATAAGATTTTTTGAAAACAGGTTCTTTGCTGCAGATGGTTGGAGAAGCCCCATTCTAGGGGCTGCAAAGGTGAATAGTTCTCAGTTCCTCACCCTCTGGAAATCTCCCCTCTGCAGAGGGAATGACATGAATACCAACCTCAAAAATACAAGATAAATTATTAAGTTCTGTATAAACAACAAAAACATGTTGGGGGTATTCATGGAAAATGAGACCATGTCTCTCTGGGGGAATAAGGAAGGCCTCTTGCAGGTGACAGGTGAGTTGAAATGGGCAGGATATTGACCACCATGGTCTGTGGGATGGGATTGGATGGACTAAAAAGAGCACTTCAGATTTTGTTTATTCTAGAAGCTCAGGTACAAAGAAGGAAAGTGCAAGGTACATTCAGAGTGAAGAGGATACCTGTTTGGCCACCGTGGATGGTCAGGGTGGGGCAAAGGGGGAGGGAATGAAACCAAGTAATAGAGCCCTTACAGTCCATCAGCAAATTTCCACCGGTCAGCAAGCTTTCCTTCTTGTCAGATCTACCCCAAGTCACAGGTGACCCTTTCTCTGGAATAAGTTTACTTTATTTCATTTCATCACAATGAGACAAAAACATAAGGGCGTTAAGGGTCAGAAAATTGGTCAAAGTGTTTCACGTGCTCTCTTATTTCCTGTTAAATAAAATGCACTTATTTCATGTTATCACACCCGTGCCGCAAGGTAGCCACCTGCAGGGGCCCGAGCAACCCTGGGTCCTGGGCTGGCATTCCTCCCTCACACCAGAGAGCCCAAGTAGGGGCAATTTTATCTCCAGGGGACATTTGGCAATATCTGGAGGCCAGAGATGCTGCTAAACATCCTACAATGCACAGGACAGACCCCACAACAAAGAGTTGTCTGGCCCTTAATGGCAGTAGTGCTGAGGGTGAGAAACCCTGTTAGAGCCTCCAGCTGAGCCTCTACCGACATCCTAAGGCAGCCATGGGAGTTGGGCAGAGAGGGTTAGTGTTACCAGTCACACAGCCATGGCCCTGTTATTGGGGGCGGGGTGCTGCAAAAGGCCCTAGGAAAATCTGTCAACAAAGGAACTGCAAACAGACTTGAGATATCCACCAGGCCTCCCAATGAAAGGACTTCAGGTAGGAATCCATATTATTTTAATTTACATGTATTACACTATTATGTAGTAATTCCCACATATTATATAGCCCCATATTCTGAAAACATGCAAAGAGCTTAGTTAAGAACAATGGTCATAAAACTATTAATATTTTCTATTCCAACATCACAACAAAAAAAAGAAAAATGCATTACCTAAAGCAGGCGATAGAAAGGTCAGGCCCTTGTGGGGGTTTTCCTGAAAGAGTTCCCTAACGCGGCTGCTTTTGTAAGGGGGTCTTTGATAATGTTGAATGAAGGGTCAGCATGAGGCCTCCACGGAGACCGCTGCATTGTTGTCAAATCCAACAATGTGATCTTGGTCCTAAACATGAGAATTTGAGAATGAGACGGTTCTTTGCTCTTTCCGAACATTTTTGCTTACTTCCTATTGTTCTATCAAAAGTGACTAAGTACTCCTGCTCCACGTCATCTCACTCCTGTCTCCTATATTTTTACTTTTGGATGTAGATCCTCTTGCCTCTTTGAGTCCCCAAAGCAAGGGGCCTCTGGTGAATGTAAAGGAATTTACCAGCAAGCCGGATGCCATGTAAGTCTCTCCTTCCCTGAGAATTCATTCTTTCCTTTGATGGGGGCGGAGGGGAGCAGCTAAGGCCCCCCTCTGGTCAGCTGCCCTGGGAACACTGGGATCCTTTTCCAGTTTGTGTGATTACAGACTACCGTCCCTCTTCTGTCTTCTTCAGTGGGGACAGCGTGTGAGAAATGGGCCTACTCATGCTGACAACGTCATTCTCTTTAGCTTCCTGCTGCGCACACTGGTGGATGCACCTTCTCTGAGTGCTGTGGGACACTCTGGTGACATCTCAGTTCAGGAGGGCAAGCAGGCTGCTACATCCTGGCCTTAGGTGGTCACTGCCTGCTATGAACTGAGGGCCTCCCTTAATCCAAAAGATTTTTTTATTGGCACGATAAGGAGACTAATATTCCTGTGTTGTAGATTGTCCCCAGAAAAATCATTCTTGTAATGCACATCAATTGTCTGGGTTGTGTAATGTGCTCCATGATTATCTTTGCAGTCATTAGGAGCGAGTCTGAGCAGCTCTGTATTTTTGAGTTCCCAGGCTCCCTTACTGGCTGGATACTGGTTGGGTTAGTCAGTGGGAAGCCAGCAGGAGATCAGAGGGTGGATCCAGGGCATTTCTGCCCCAAACCTCATCCCTGCCTGCCCGGGGCAGCTCTGGCAGTGGCTGGGTTCTCTGTGGCCACAGCTGGAGAAATGGGGGGAGCAGGGCCTACCACTTGTAAGGTTCCCACTCCATATCATGTTATAATAAATACATTAAAATATATCTGATTCTTTCACTCAGTATAATTTTAATTATATAACTTTCTGAAAGAGTTTGCATATATTTAATAATTTTGTGCTTGGGCATAATTTATGCTTTTTGTTCCCATGATTTAAACGTTATTGCATTGACAAATAATTATATAAAAGTTTGAATTTCTATTGACTAGTTGGCATGATGTTACTCAGATAACTATTCACTGATTATGAAATAAAGGTCACTGGGGACTCTGATGCTCCCAGGACTGAGAACCATAGCACCGGTGTGTCTTATACCTTCTGAGCTGGAGCAGGGCCCTCAGGGTCAAGGACACAGGACGGATCATTAACAAACTACTTACTACCTGTCTTTGCCCAGGGTGAGCCCGGCTGCAGGCTCCAACTGGGCGAGCGAGGTGTTCAAGAAGAACAAACCAAAGGCAAGCGGCACCAGGAAAGGCTTCCCAAGACGACCACGATCCAAAAAACCAGGCAGCAAAGTGCAGTGAGTATGACTAATGTCTCTTAAATTCCACAGGGAGGAGCAGCTTTGGGAATGGTCTGCAGGAAAATTACAAGGGGTTAGGAGCTGGGCTTTGGGATAGGATACACCCAACATGAAATCTGCGACCTGCCAGGGTCTCAGTCAGCATGCCTAGGTTACATGGCCTCTCTGAGCCTCTGTTTCCTGATCTGTCAAATAGAGATAATACCATCTCAAAAAGCTGTTGTGAGCATTTAGTGAAGTCAACTACATACATTGCTTCGCAGAGAGCAAGTTGAGTAACAGCACTCAATAATTAGTAGATACCACAGTTATATAACTCCCAGAGGTTGACTAGCTTCCTCTCAGTTTCTGAAGAGAACTGTACTAGAAAGCTAAACTAGAGAAGTTGGAGCCCACGTGACCCTCAATATGTAGAGCTCTTAACTGTTCCCACCCTACAACTAAAAGCCCTAATCAATGTAGGCCAGCTTTTTGTGGCTTTTTGACTATATCACATTGTCATTGATTTAATCAGTCAACATTTATTGCCTATTAAGTACCAAGCACTCTTCTGGGCTCTGGGGAAATCAAAGGTTAATTAAACCTGATTCCCAGCTTTCAAGAGTTTATCTTGAACTTTGAACTTCAGACTAAAGATAAGAATAAAACCTACTAATTTGATGAACTATGAGCCCCATATAAATCAAGCATAATTTTATTACTTTTTTTAATTGAACTATAACATTGTTGAAGGCATATGCCTACATACATACATACTCACAAATTCAAAATGCCAGCCTCAAACACAAACCAAGCCAGGTGTCATCTAGAATTATTTGCGTAGATTATCAAAGTGTTCTCTGAAAGGAACAGATCCACATTGCTATTTAATTTGTTTCAAGACTTTATTGTTCAGAAAAAATCCTTAAATCCTTCTAAAGGACATCGTTTCAGGTTGCTCCTGTCCTGGGTGGGGTTCCCTGGGTAGGCAGAGGGACGTGTTGGGTAGGCAAGGTCAGAGGCTCACCTGGGGCAGGTACGTACTTTGCGGGTAGGGGAAGCAGTATGGTGGGGAGGACATTCTCAGAGCCACCACAGGAAGTAGAGAAGACCCACAGGCACTTTCTGGATTAAAGGATGGGCAGGGAGAATGCAGGACCCAGGAGGAAGTTGGGGGTCCCTAGTGGTCACTGTGTCCATGTGGCCTGGGATTATTCTCACTCTGTTCTGTGGTGTCCATCTCCAAGACTTCCTTGACTTTTAAGTGTCCATATCTCTGTCCCTCGGTCATGAGAATGCAGGCTGGTCTACAGTGGGTGTGGGGAAACCTCCTTGGCTGGGAGTGCCATCTGGGAGCCAGGTCCCCACTCGGGTCCCCTGATTCCTGGGCCAGGCCTCTTCCCACACATCAGAGCAGTGGTAACTATGCAGTTCAACCAGAGCCACCATGGTCAACAGACTTCTAGGAATCAAGGTGCTTTATAAAAAGCAGACTTTGGTAAAAAACAAATAAAACAACATTCATAAGCTGTGAGAGACACTGTTGTCAGTGGGTCATACATGCTGTGTACAGTGCTCCTTTATAGAACAGATTGTGAAGCTGCCTGGGCAATTCCCTGATGATGATCTTAAGCAATTCCATACAGATTCACTGCTCTGCATGTCAAAGACCAGGGTAGGGAGCAGAAAAAAGAAGCTCAAAAATGTTAGGCATAGAGAAGGAGGAGTGATTGCTCATTTCCTCCCAAACTACAATCATGGGGACCTTGTCACACCCATGGGCTAGTGCTATGTAAACTCCTGGTTCACAGCCGATATCCCTCCCAGCAAAGAAGAGAGTGACTAGAATGAAAGCTACAGTGTAGGTGTTCCATACATTAATGTGTGTGTGAGTTTGCATGTGCATGTGCACACACTTTAAATGAGATGTTAAAATTTATACTCTGATGCAGGTTGTATTAGTCAGCTATTGCTGCTATGATAATGCTACATAACAAACAACCTCCCTGCACCCCAGATCTCAGTGTATTACAAAACAAACATTTACTTTTCTCTTCCTGGGTCTATGAGTTGCATGGAATAGCTCTACTTAGGTTACAGGCTGGGGTCAAGTCTGCTTATTGCCCTTTCATTCCAGGACCAGCAGTTATACCAGAACTGCCCTTCTTCAGAGCATGGCTAGACACATGTATCAGCACAGTGCTCCTCTGCCAGCCTGTCTGTCCTCCAGTAGAGTTCAGTGGTTCATCTCACTCAGGTTGTATAACTGGCCTCAAAGTGGGAAGAGGAGAAATTGAGAGACTGCCTGCAGGCTACAACTGGAAATGGAGGAGGTCCATCTTGCTGATTGTTACTCAGATCCTCCTAATTGTCAGACTTTCTAAATTTCCACCACTTTAGAGCCTCTCCTTTGAGTTACTGTAGAATTTCTTCTTATTCAAATGTGAATGTAATAATAACAGCTAAAATTTATGTAGTAGTTATTATGTCCTAAGCACTGTGGCACAGAGAAGTTAAGTAGCATGCTCAAAGTCACACAGTTGGTAGGCGGCAGAGCTAGGATCCAAACCCAGGGGTCCATCACCAGCGTCTGGATTTTGACCACAAAGTGATACAATGACCCAAAGTAGCCGCCCAGAGCTGGAGTGAGAGACAGAAGTCACAGGGCCTAGTCTTTGTTTCTCCATTTGGGCAGCGAGAGGCCTGGGGTTGCACTGGGACACCTGGCAGGTAGGCCAGGCTGCCAAGCTAAGGAGGTTGGACTTTACCTATGGTGCTGGGCAGTCATCACAGCGTTTAAACAACAGAGCGACACAGTCAGATTGGAAAATTATCCAGTAAAATGCAAATTTACACGCCAGCATTTCTCCAAGGTGGGTTCAGCAGTGTCTTCCTGCAGTTTCCCAGAGAGGGCAAGTGACCTTCCCAGGGTCACAAAGCAGGTAAGGGATGGTTTGGAATTCAGGTCTTCCCGTCCCCAGGTTTTGTCTGCTTTCTTCTCACTTGTGCTTCCTCGGCTTCTCACATCCTGGCCTGCTCCCTGCCCACTTGACTTTTCTGTGCGCTCCACTTCCAAGACTGTTTGGGTCACCTCCAGGCCTCATCCCAGTGGGATCCAGGAATGCAGCTGCCCTGAGGTGTAGAACACCCCGGGGTGTCCCTAGAGGCCAAACACCACCTGCATTGTCCCTAGTTGCTGGGGTGACCTCTGAGCACCGTCAATCCAGTGTCCCTTCCACCCCCACCTGTCTCTTCCTGGTCACAGTGAAGGCCAACACTAGCCCTTGTAATTAATGTCTTGTGCCCTAAGAAAACAGCACTCCTTCCTTGAGAACTTGACTGCCAGCTGCTGGAAGATTGTTATAATACACTGATTTTGTTAAAACAGTTGACTGCTAACAGCTAGAAATCTGTGTAAATTATGTACAAAGCTACAAAGGTGTGTAAATAACATATAGAAAGTAGTACAAATAACATATGACATAAGTATGTCTGCAAAGTGCCTACCGCTTGTGTTGGCGGTGTACCCTTGCACAACTGCACTCAGCACCCTGGGGCCACTCCACCTCCTCCCCCTTCCTGAAAACTCACATATAAACCAGACTTTTGTAAACCCAGTGATGTTTCAAACACTCTTTTATCAACCCCTGCTGTGCAAATGGGATTCTTTAATTGCAAAAGATCCTTGTATAATAAAGTGGCCCTTCTAACTGCTTTTCTGTATTAAAAGGAGAGTTCAAATTTGGACGCGTCCGGTTGGCTATCGTGCAGACCAGCTACTTGCTCAGATGGCCTGAGGGGCATGAAGCTGGGAGGAATGTTCTCAGTTGGAGACAAGAGGGAGGAAGTCCTAGGTGAGGGACTTAGAAATGATGAATCTGTGTCTTTCCCTAGGACGCTGTGAGCCGAGACAGAAAACTTGGGAAGGAACAGGGGAGAACCTGACGACCTCGAGGCTGAGGCTCCTCCCTCTGTTCTCAGATGCTGACCCCTCACCTCGGCCTTTTGGGGACCAGGGTGACAACCACTGTCAAGCCTGTTGGTGCAGAGGGTCCTGCTTCCCCTAGGCGAGCGACTTCTCGTTTAAACATCCTCTCAGCTTCCATATGGGCCTTCCAACCCTTTCATTACCCTGCTCTGATGAGACATGTAGACAAGGACAGACATCCACACAGACTGGAACTGAAGAGCACACCGCACCGCCCCCTCCTGGCTGGTGGGGCTCTGGACCTTCCTCTCAAGCCCAGCCTGAGTTTGCTTCTTCGAGATGGGCCAGATTAGTCTTAGCCCACAAGATCTGACCCACAGATCAGAACTCTGGAGGTCAGGCAGGGCTGAGCCATGGACAATTTCCTGTGTCAAGAAACCAGGTTCGCCTTTTGTTTTGTTTCTAATTCACACAGCATTCTAAAGGCTCGACATGGAACCACCGGACTCCGCCTCGGCTGCTTGCTGGAATCCCCCAGTGGAGCTGAGCTGGCGTCAGCCTTTCCGAGCTGCCCAGGGACTGTGTGGTGCAGCTGTGTCCAGCTCACGGCCCTGGGCTTCCCCGAATCCTAGAGTAGCAGTAGAGGAAATTGGGAAGTCAAACATCTCTGTCCCTCCTGTCCCCCAGCCCGAATGAAGGCAGACTCAGCTGTTCACACCGAAGTGAAATGTCCCATGATAAAGACACCTTCGGCCTCAGTTTTTCCAGCCTGTCCAGAAAAAAGTGGCCCCTCTGCTCCCAGGGTGTATATAACTTCCAGCCCCAGCCCGGCCCAGTAAGGGAGCCCAGGCTGTCCCCAGGCCTCAGATGCGTTTGCCTAGCAAATCCTGGAATGCAAATCCCAGAGGACTGGGTGGGAGGCAGCCCCGAACTGGGCTGGGGCACCTGGGAGGACACTTGCAAATTTAGCCATGGACGGTGGGAGCTGTTACAGCAAAGGGGCCCCGGTGGAGCCTACTTTTAGCAGGACCATGTCAGGGAACACGAGTCTACACAAGCACCCTTCAGATGCTTCTGCCTGGGAGAACCTGAATGTTCCTTGGAGAGGCCTGAGCAGAATCAAGTCTCAGGCGCCTTTGGACCCCCTGCCTACTCTGATTCTGTGGCCCAGACCAATCAAGGGAAGCACCCTGGCTCTGTGCGGTGGCCCATCCGGCCACAGGCCTCTTCTCCAGGAGTGGTCTTCCCCTTTTCAGGTGGCTGTGAGCCCAGGGGCCTGAGACGCAGGAACCAGGGGAGGGAGGGTATCAGTCTAGCACAACTCAGGAATGCGTATGCCCTGGTGGGCAAGGGAGGCCCGAACATGACATTGACCTGCTGTCTTAGCCTCAATCCTCTATTCAGAGCCCAGCTGTTCTTATGTTAGTTACAAGTATCAGTAAATCCCTTTGTATATTTTCCTTCATTTTGCTTAATGTCCTATTTCCCCATTTTGAGGTAATCAAGAAAATCGTTCTTGCATTAGTTCCAGGGTTACCAGATGAAATACCAGAAGCTTTGTTAAGTTTGAATTTCAGATAAACAATGAATAGTTCTTTAGTATAACTATGTCTCCGGTATTACCATGATTTTTTGTGTATATCTGAAATTCAAATTTAACTGGGCCCCCATATTTTTATTTGCTAAATTTGGCAACCCCTAATTAGTTCCTTTCTCTTTTTTATGCTTTAAAAAAAACACTAATGGATTGTTTTTGTTTTTAAAATATTGTTTATTTATTTAGAGAGGGGGAAGGACGGGAAGAAGAGAGAGAGAGAAACATCAGTGTGAGAGAGGACCATCCATCTCTTGTCGCTCACATGTGCCCTAACAGAAGACCAAACCTACAACCCAGGCATGTGCCCTAATAGGGAATCGAACCAACGACCTATAGGTTCACAGACCAATACTCACCAACTGAGCCACACCAGCCAGGAGTACTGTATTGTTTTTTGAAGCCATAGTCACCATGCTTTGAGACTGGGAGGTCTCACTGGTGCCAAGGCCAAGGCCAGAACACTCTCTGGTGTTCCAAACAAGTATATCTGAACGACAGCTACAGTGCGGCCCTCGCAGTAACCTTGCTGTCACCCTGAACTCAACCAGGTCCTGGCCGACCTCGCTATCTCTGACTCACCCACTTAGCCTCCTGGCTCTTCAGGGTGAGAAATTAGGTTAGTTATGTCCTGGTGTTACTTGTCCGCCTTTTAAGAGCCTTTCAAAGCAGCAAGGTCTGCCATGCAACCCCACGTTCTGGAAAACCTCTGTGGTGTGACTTGAGGGAGGCCCGCCCCCACATGGTGTCCACCGCCCTGTATTCCCATTAACACAAAATTCCCATAACCAGTGAGGTCCATCAGCATCCTGACTGTGTCTTTTACATCAGTCCTGGCACATGGCAAGTGCTCAGTAAATATTGATTGAATAAATGAACTAATGGATTAGGCAATAATGGGGAGCATTAAAACAGGGGTTCTCAGAGCTGGGTCCTGGCCTGTTCTGTCTGTTGCTGATTAAGTGACCTTGAATGAAGCATTGTCCCACTCTAAGCCTTAGCATCCTCATCTGGGAGGCGAGAGTAGTGATACTGCCCCCTGCTGTCCTCAGAGCATTAAGGTGAGCCTTCGAGGCTTGGGGAATGGAAATGCCTTTGAAAAGAAGACAAGCAACCACCCAAAAGGGTCGCCTTCCTCGGGAGCCATTAGAGGAACTCACATGTTATCTGAGAGAGGGCAAAGGAGGCCTTCAGTGCCTTTCAATGGAGAACACATTTTCCAGACCAAAAATCAGGCACTGTGTTCTGTCAATTCTATCTGGTTCTGAGTGACAGAGTTTAGGTACCAGAATTTAGATAAAACAGATGATTTAGGACTGGCCCACATTTTCCTGGACATACAATTAATTGTCACCTTAAGAGTCACGGAGCTGTAGAACGTCAGGTTTGGAAGGCAAGTATCTTGCCTCCAAAGTTGTCAGCCTATGGTGCTTAGCCCAGAGCACCTTTTTTCTTTTACTGCTTCAGCAAGGTGGCTCCCCAAGGATCGGACGCCTGGAAAGCATCCTGAGAGGGCCCCCAGGCAGGGACCAGGAGGCCGGCCCCACAGCCTTTCAGATACGAGACAGGCCTAGATGTGGCCAGTGAGCCCCCATCTTGTCCAATCGTGAATAACCCAGGTGAGGTCTTTGTGCAAGTCAGTTTCTTTCTTTGTTCCGATAACACGGCACAAAAATCAAACGTAGATGCCAGCATTGGGAACTCACGGCAAGTACTCATACAGCTTAAAGAACATCGTTTCAAATAAGAAACTATATGCAGAAGTTTCCTAATCCCCATTTAAAACATTTAATTCCTATCTTTCACATTTTGGCAGTGTTCCCGAACACTGCCTAAAATGAATCCATAAATATTTCGCCTCTTCCCCACTTCTTAGAAGCAATAACACTAAAGGACTTTCAGAATATGCTTAGTTGAAATTCCTAAACTTTGCCTCGGGTTTGAGGTCAGTCCTACCGAAGCACCCAGGGCCTCTCTGCCCTGGACTTCCCCCCGCCCCTACCCCAGTCCCACCCCACAGTGCTGCCACAGGCTCAGCACAGCAACACAATGTCCATCGAGGGTGACAAGGCTGAGTTTGCCACCCAGGTGTTGGCACCCTCTCCCCCAGGGCCACGTGTTCCAGGCAGTGTCCGAGGGCTGTGTTCCTGGCCCTGTGGGGTGTGCGTGGAGGTAAAAGGCCGTGGCAAATGGGTCACTGGAGCCAAGCTGTCGAAACTGTTCAGTTGTGTAGAAGGCAGAGCCCCCAACAGCCCACACCTCACCTTTGGACAAAAACGAAAAGGAGGCCCTTTCTCAAGACACTTTACTGCCATCAGCGGGAAAATTGTCGTCATGAATCTACAAATCCTCAATGTCTAGGAAGTGAATAGCACTTCCTGGGCCATGGTGCTCTTGAGCAGGTCACACCCACATAGCCACCCATGGTCATGCAGCTGGAAGCACCCACCCAATTTCCTGAAAACTACCAGATTGTGTCTATAATAAAAATGACACATGTGGACATGGTACTAAGTAATTTTCAGAATCCTTCACAGTCATGTTCTCACTGACTCTTGACAAACCCCCATGAGATGGGAGAGCTGAAAGGCATCAGCTTCATGTCCTTGGTTATAGAATTGGGGAACACAGGGTTGGAGGGCTTCTGAGACCAGTGATCCCCAATCCGTAGGCCTTCCCTGGCTGGGCTGCAGAGTTCCTGGGAGGCACCTACAAATCCACATGGGCGGTAAGCACTGTCAACTGAATAAATTATGTGTCGCGCTTAGAGGCACATCTGTTTAATTGCATCCGGATGTTCTGGTGAGAGATTACCCAAAAATTTACTTTTAAAACTAAAGACATTTAAAAGTAACATCTGAAAAAATGTCAGCAAGTCTTCTATACACTAGTGGCATATTTTTAGCTCTGTGAATCAAGAAAATACATGCCAATAAAAAAATAAGATTAAGGATTTAGTTACTCTTAAGGAAGAGTAAAAACCCAAGAGCACATTAAGATGGCGCTTGAGTTGTCAGCAGAATACAAGGGCTTCAACTCCTGGTCCAATACTCTAGACCAATGCTTGTCGAGGTAGCTCCCCCATTTCCTCCCTAACCCCCAATTTAGGGATAGAATCACTGGCTGTACAATTCCAGCTGAGGAGCAAGGCCTCCCATGAGTGGCTAACAAGTTGCCTGGATCTTAGGAGTTTTCCTCCTTCTCATTCATTCATTCATTCATTCTTTCATTCAGTGAGTGAGTCCGGCTCAGTGGGGGAGGGTATATTTAGCCAGAGTGAAAGCACTCACTACCTCTCTTTGGACAGATTTCAGCAATGCAGAACCAGGAGCGATACAATGGGTCATCTAGTCCTACCCAGAATCCAAGGTCTGGAGAGGACAGGGGTATGAAGGGTCTTGTAGCAAGTTTGACACAAGTCAGCAGTTGGATCTCCAAGTCTCCTAACTCCCAGTCCAGTGCTTATTTCTCCCAGCATAGTCTCTGCCTCTCCATCTGAGGAAGAACGCTTTGTACGTTCTCTGTCTCCATAAGCCCATGATGATGTGAGGATGCAGAATGGCTGTCCACTCTTGTCTGCAGTCATGTCTGCAAAGCCCTCGGCTGAGACGATTATGAAGCATCCTCAGGACGTCCCGGCTAAAGCCACCAATTGTTTCAATTGTTCAAAGGTGCTCGAGTGCAAAGCAAGGCTTTCAATCTGGACTTTGGGTCTCAGGGCTTATGATGGTCTGGGAGGAGAAAAAGAACAGAAGTTTTAGCCAGGGCCCAGTTATTTGTGGGTTTGCTCTGATAACAATAGATTTCACATTAACCCATCAACACAGCACACTGGTTTCCCGTCTGGGTCTTCGCTCACACAGTACCTTCTCCCTACAATGCCCTTTCTCCCAGTCTACAGCCTCTCCATCCTCAGAATCGAAGCTGCCACCTCCTGGAAGTCTCCCAGAACCAATTTGGTTTTTTGGCCTCAGTTACCACTAGTTTGGCATTTGATTGATATTAAACTTTGTCATCAGTAAACATTCTGTCTTTCCCACAAGCAGAAATTTCCACAGGTCCTCACAGAGCCTTGCACACTATCAATTGGTTGAATGAATGAATGAAACCGGAGGATGGAGTGAGGGCTACTGAGGATGTCAGAACTCATGTTTCTGTAATATCTTTCACAAAGAACTCAGATCGCTCCATAAGCTATTACCTAATCCATTTTAGGGGCCAAATTATCTGTCATAGCGCCATTCTCTGGGAGAAGACAGTGAGGATGAGAAAAGAGAGGTCTAAGGTCACAAGGAGCTCTGGGCAGGAAAACAAGCCAATTCTGTGCATAGCATTTAAATAACAAAGTACAAGTATCCTGAAATAAGACCAGCTGTCTTGAAAGCCTTAGCCCACAGCGTCCTAACGTCATTCCAGAAGAAGACAGAGTTTGAGTGGTGGTGGCACCACTGCAATGACGCTCTGGTTGCCCAGGATGCAGAGGTTCTGGGTCTGTGTGTCCAACCCCAACAAAAGACATTGCTTTCCTTTAAAGACACGCCCTCATTCAGTAGCTTCTGCTCTGGAGATCGGGGTCCAATGTTTGTAAGCAGGTTATCTTAAGTAGATTTGAAAGGGGTGGGGGAAACTGTTCATCAAGGTCCTCCCAAAAACATGTGAAAATTCAGACTTTAAAAAAAAAAAATCAGTGATAAGTATTATTTCTAAAGGGAACATCTCAGAGCCTTCCCCTTGGGAAAGGGGAAAAGCATGACAGCAATCAGGAGAGAGAGAGTAGTGGCAGAGGAGAGGCCGCTACCAATCCATCGGCCGAGGTCTGTGGTGGAGCACCTCCAGGAAGCCCTCCAGAAGCACACAGCCCACGGAGCCTTCTCGTCTACCTCCACCACCCCTTATTCGAATGGAATCTTACTTTGCTTTGTTATTTAAATTTTATGACAGTCACAAATTGGGAAGCCAAGGAGCAGAACCCAGGAAATAAGAAGAGGGCAAGCTTAGCTAGCAGCCAGCCCAGTGCCCCATATTGATGTCAAAAAGTATGAAAACGCATGCCAATTAGACACCAGAGCCAAGGAAGAAGATGGAAGTAAAGCCAGTGAGTGTGGGGGGGAAGAAGAAGGTCACTGTGGTATAGAATTGTCTCAAAAGGCCTCAGCAAGGAGGTGGCATTTGAGCTGGACCCCAAAAGTCCTGAACTAGGCAGGGGGAAGGGGACAGTAAGCAGATCCTCTCGTGACCACGACCTTGTCCTTGCTTGTGCCCTCTGCCGCATCGCCATTTCTCACCTGGGGGGCCTCCCTGTAGGGGAACTGGGGGTAGCGCAGACCCATCAGGCTGAGGACGGTGTGATGATTGTTGCCAGCAAACTTGTTAGCCAAGCCAAAGGCAAACTGGTAGGGCCTCTTAGCCGCGTTCCCGTTGGACTCAGGGGAGCGGGCGCCCTGTCTGCGCAGGGTGGCTGTCAGCTTTATGAGGGACGAGTCTGGGAGCTGGTAAAAAAACCTCTTAAAGCTGGGGTGTCGCCTGATCTGGAAGCAGAAATGAAGGCAGGCCATCAGTGTTGCTGGCCGGCGACCCTCCCCCCGCGGCCAGGCTGGGCGCGCCTCATCGTCCCCGGGACGAGCTCCTGGGTTCAGTTCCTCCACCACCCACAGCCATTCAGAATCTGTCCTGCACTGTCCAGCTGCAAATAGCAGGACAAAGTGGGGGGAAAAGTGTTGGTCTTTGGACCCAGACAACTATGTTTAAATCACATCTGCTAGTTCTGTGACCTCTCTAAGCCTCTGCTTGGTCGTGTAGAAAATGGGAGGAATAATATCCCACCCTCCTGATTATTCTTGGGGGAAGGGATTGAGTGAGGTGGCTTATGTGAAATGTTTTGATAGCATAGATGTGGATGAGTTTTCGTTCTCACCCTAAACCTCCTCTTCTTTATGCTTAAATGTCTTAGGCTGGGCTCCCCCTGAGGCCAATCCAGACACAAGGCCTGGGGTGCAGCTCCTGTACACCGGGAGTGGCCCCAGGACACGCTGATGGGAAATGGAGACCTGGGATGAAGATGGGAAAGCAGCCGCACAGGCTGGCGACTAGAGCCCGATCCCCTCAGGAAACGCCAGGAACCAGCTCCTCGAAGTCCTCCCTGACCCCAGGGTGACCCCAGGGCAACCCCAGGGCGACCCCAGGGCAAGGAGCTAGGGGGTAGGCCCACCAGCTCCTATCAGCCATTGATTGAGGGCTGTTCCTGGGGAGGGAGAGGGTGTTCATTCTAACCTTCCACACTGTGGCAAAGTGGCTCTGGGGGCCAGTCCTCAGACAAAAGGTTTCAGGCACCGGCCATGGGGAGCTGGGGCAAACACTGTAAGGCACCTACAGGTTACCCTGAGCTCACACCTGGTGGCCCCTTCATACGTGCTAAGTGTTTGTTTCTCCAAGTAGACTGAGGTTTTCAGGGGCAGGGAGCTGTCTGCTAAAGGCTATCTAGCAGGGGAGGAAAATCCAAAAGCTGTAAAGAATTGGAGGCCACATAGATGCTGAAGGGTGTGCCAGGACCTCCCCCAATTCAAATCCATCGAAGCCTCCTCAGGGGAGGAGGTTTCCCCTGGGGCGGGACAGGAGCAGCACTTCAAGGAGGATTTGGATTCGGGGAGGTCCTGGCTGGCCGGGAGCCACATGAGCTTTATACTAAACTAATATTTATCTCATCTGCTACATATATGGCATTTTCTATATATGCACTAAACTTTGTCAAGTAGGTATTTATCTCCATTTTGCAAATGAGGAAAATGAGGCTCAGAGAGGTTAAAGGACACACCCAAGGTCACCCGATCCACAAACGGGGATTAAACTGGGGTCTCGGTTTTGGGTTGTTGAGGCCCCGGGGGTTGCCCCTGGGGGGACTAAATGGTTCTTACCTGTTCCCCTAAATGGCCGTCCACTTCTTGGAGAAGGGCTACCAGCTTCTGGATGATCAGCTCCTCTAAGGAAAGTAAAGAAGAATTGAGAGACTGTTGACAAGTTCTGCAGTAACACACCCATGAAAACAGACTATTTTGTCTCTAAAACAGAGCACACGGATGAGCTATGAAGGACAAAGAAAAATATTCCCTAAACTAGAGCTGCAGCTTGAGAGCTTTGTTTGGGTTTGCTTTGTAGAAATAGAAGGGACTTCAGGCTGCTGCGCTTCACCTGTAACCATTAGACAGATGGGAAAACTGGGACCTCCCGATGTCCCTTATCCAGACTACAGAGTGACGGTCAGGAATGGGAGTTGGAACCAGGAGCAGCTAATCGGAATGCAAGGTGGGGCACTCCATAGCTACTGATGGAGCAGGAATGTGCCCATCAGCCAGGGTTATAAACAGCACTGTGCAGGCAGCTGCTTGTACCAAGGGTGCACTGTAAATATTCAAGGAAATTGTCTACCCATTGTTATAAACTGTTGGCAACTTGAAATCTGCCACAGTGGGCATGTTTATAACACAGAAATCGGCAAAGGCTACAGACTGGGGCTTCCCTTCTTGACATCGATCCTCCAAGAACTTGTTTGCCAGTATGCCATTGATTATGAGACCAAAGCAAGCTAGGAATTTAATGAAATACTCAAGCAAACCAATGGGGAGCGGTGGGGTGAAGTTACAACCCATAGAATAGACAGGCGTCCTCTATCTGAAAAAAGCTCTTCACCTCCAACCTGTCCCAACAGCCCCAGGTGGAAGGCCAACCCCATCTCCTCCCTGCCCTCATAGACTCCTGGATGTTTGTTGGCTGCCCTTCCAGTTCCCTACTCGAGTTTGGCCTGTGAGAGAAACATCAGTTGGTTGCCTCTCACATGCCTCCAAAGGGGGATATGGCCCACAACCAAGGCACGTGCCCTCACCGGGGGTCAAACCAGCGACCTTTCACTTTGTGGGACGACGCCCACGGAGCCCCACCAGTCAGAGCCTCGGGTTTGGTCTGTGAAATCCAGGGGGCACCATACCAGGTGAGAGCAGATGGTACTAACTAGATTCACACGCTCCGTCAGGCAGAGGTCTTTCTTCCAGCTTGTGGCCTCTGGCCTGGGAGGATGCTTCTGAGGATCCAACTCGTCCCCCTTCTGCAGGCGAAGACTCCTGGAACTCAAGACCCTCCAGATCTGAGGACAAAAAGGAGCTGGTGAGAGTGTGTTTGCACCTGTCTCAAATCTACAAGCACATCGCTGTGCCCAGGTTCTGATAAGCAGCCGTCCACAGGCACTGGCACGAGAGCGGTCCTGGTTTTCCAGGCTCCTGGGTGAGCCCCCAGGTCCCCTGGACCCACCTCAGAGGAGTTTACAGGACTCTGTGTGCCCCCTCCAGAAATATCATTCTTTCTTCCACCAACCCCCTCTGCCTCCTCTCTGCCCAGGAGGAAAACAAGCAGGCCTGCCAACAGGGGAACTCGCTTCCTCTTAACTCTGTGAGGCTCTGCCGAGTTACTTAGCCTGTCGGAACCTCACTTTCTTCATCTGTCCATTGGGAGTAGTAAGACTGGCCTCTCGGGCTTGTGAGCTGGTTAAATGAGAAAATATGTGTGAAAGTGGCATGGAGTAGGCACTCCATACATGTCATGGTAATCACTATAAACCAGTAGGCCTCACACTTGGGTGCAGCGAGGGACAGCCCAGGGCATGTCCTCCTTCATCAAACCTGGGTCTGTGTTCTTCTATTAGCTTTCCAGGTGATTCTCATGCACTTGTCTAATGTACAGACGCACTGTTCTCATACCACATTTGTTTTTAAATGAGTGTGTGAGTGGTGGGATGGGGGAGTGTGTTGTCAGTTGTGGGTCCTGCGGGCAACCCGCACCTCTCTCCTCCCCGTGGTCCTCTGGACCTCCTCTTGGCCACACAGCTGGCCAACCCCTGGCCTGGAGGAAGCCTGGGGCCAGAAGCAGCCTGTTTCCATGGCAACACCAGGCCTGCTCACCAAGGCTGCTGGAGATGGAGGGCCGACGGCCCCCAACGCACAGGGGCAGATAGCTGGGCCTCTTGAGCAACCGGGACTCCGGGCTGGTGGCACCTGCAGCTCCGCCTTTCTTGGGCTCCTTAGAGCTATGTTTCTTATGAGAAAAGGCTTTTCTGAAGCTGGACTTTTTCTCTTGGGATTTCTTCCTGCAGGGCGGGGTCAGGTGTTCTACAGCCACCTCTGGCTCCTGGACGTGAAGTTGCTGCGGGCCAGAGGAAAGAGACTGAGTTATGGCCCTTCACTTTGAGGAAATTGCAAGTGAGCTGGGGAGAGAGACCAGCATCCCCTGAAATAAGAGAGACCCACTGTGGCCTAGAGGGTGTGACCACTGATGCTCAGACATGGGAAAAAGAGAGTGCCCTGCAGCCTCAGGGAAGGCCTCAGGAAGGAGAAGGGTTGGAGCAGGGCTCTGGCAAGATGTAGAATTGGGGGAGAGGCAGGGAAGTTATTACACCAGGCGGAGGCCGGGGTGGGAGGGTCCCTAGTGAGGGTCAGGGTCTATAGGGGAATGTCCTCCTCACCTTCTCTCCCTCCTGTTCCTCCTCATCTTGGAGTAGGGCGATGATCTTCTCAATAAATTTTTCTAAAAAAGAACAAAATAGTTGCTTACACTCTAGTAAGAAAAAACTTTTCTATGGTCAGTCTTCATTTCCTAAGACCCTGGGTGGGTGATGCTCATGGGTCTCCAAGGTGCTAATGAACTTGCATTTGTGGCTATCCCAGTGGGGACCCCCTGGGGACCCACACATTTCTCAGACCTGGCCTGAGGGCAGAGCTGGTTTCAAGGGAACATACTCACTTATCCATTCCCAGCAAGGGCCTAGATGTGCCGCCCTTGGGTATGAGGAACAGCACGGAGGCCCTTCTCGATTCTCCTTCAAGGCACATTTTTTGTGAAAAGTAAACAAGGCAGAAGGGGGTTTGGGGGAAGAAGGTATTTTTTTTTTTCTTTTAATTGATTTGAGAGAGGGAGAGACATCAATTTGTTGTTCCACGTATTTATATATTCATTGGTTGATTCTTGTATGTGTTCTGACTGGGGATTGAACCCACAACCTTAGCATATGGGGGCGACACTCTAATCAACTAAGCTACCCAGCAGCCAGGGCAGAAGCAGATCTTTAAGAGTAACTTCAGATGTGTGGAACGGACAGTGTCAAGATTCTAAGATCAGCTCTGCCAATGATAAAACAATAATGACAGCAGCTATCATTTGTTGGGCTTCTCTCCTATGGCCCCTGCCCTTTCCTATCCTCTTTGCTGCTCCTGGGGCTCTGAACAACCAACCACAACAATAATAACAACAATAAATGACAGCTAACATTAATAGCTGATAACGGGTACTGTTCTAAACACTTTATCTGCATTCATTCATTTAGCGCCTCCAACAGCCCTATGAAGTCAGTACTACTATTATCCCCATTATACTGATGAGGAAACTGAGACCAGAAATGAAGCAACTTGTCCAAGTAAATGTGGCCAGAAGAGGTCAGAGCCCAAAAACAAACCCGGGCCCTAAATCGCACAGTCTACGGAGCCTGTGCCATGGGCCGTTGCCTTTCTCCAGTGCCTTATATTGGCCCCACCAAGGAAGGCATTTCACACAGAGGCCAGACAGGGTAACAGCAGCGTGGCCTGGCGCCTGTGCCTGGGGCCCCACGTGGCCTGCCCAGCCCGCTGCACTCAGAGGCGGGTCAGGACAAGTCTCTGCCTCTCTCTGGTTGTTCCTCTTCTGCAAATGGCGGGGTCAGGCCAGACATTCTGAGAAAAAGAGAGGGGTACTGACTGCATTCTGAGGCTCTGTCCAGCTGCAAGTCCTCTCTGGGTCCCCGGCTCCCTGCTTGGGTGGAAAGACTTGGACCCGCACAATCTGTAGGCAAGGCCTCTTGGACTTCAGGTTCTTCCAAGCCTAAGGAGCAAAATGAAATGGTGTGTTTTGTTAGTCTGAGGCTGTTAACTAGTGCTGGAGGGCGTTAGCACAGCCTCCGCCGGCCCGTCCGCCGCCAGAGCATGGTGGGGTGAGCCGGGGTGGACGCGAGCTGCCGGGCAGGGCCGGTGCACGTCCACACGCCTGGCTTCCTGTGCTTTGCTTCCTCGCCTCCCCTCCCTAGCGACCTCATCCCTCCATCATCTTGGCTTGAGCCACTGGTTGGAGAGTTAATGTCATAGAATGAGTTAACACATCAGGCCAGGATCCCATGCATGAAAATTCACTCTTTGGTGTAAAGTATTGCCCCCTCTTTTTAAAATGTAAATTACCCTGCCCAGGATGAGCTGCCAGGCTGTACTTCCCTGACACCCAGGACACCCTTTCCCCGTGTCTGGCTCCACTATTGATGGCCCACGACCTTCAACACATTGTTTTACCTCCCTAAGAATCAGTTCCCGCATCTGTAAAATGTAGATAATGAAATGGCTGAGGATAAGTCCTATTTTACAGGCGAGGAGACTGAGGCACCGAGATGGAGAATGACATAGAAAGTACAGTGGAGGGCCCAGGTCTCCTGCCTCCCAGTCCCCAGTTTCTTCCTGCATGTGCTCCACACTGCCAGGGTGTGGACGCTGAGGCCGAAGGGAGAGGAGGACGATGGGGGTCCCTTAACACAATTTCCACTAGGGGCTTCACTGGCTTGTCAAGACAGTGAGGTTTCACGTGCGGCAGTGGCCTGCTGGCATCTTTTTTCTCCTCCCCATATTGCTCAAGGAAGAGCAAAAGTCAAATGGGCTGGCTGCTCCTCAAGCGGCCAGCTCCAGCCCTGGGCAAGCTTCCAGAGCTGGAGGCAGCTGCAGTGTTGCTATGGTAACTGTAAGCCTGCTCACCAAGGCTGCTGGAGATGGAGGGCCGATGGCCCCCAACACACAGGTACAGAAAGCTGGGCCTCTTGCGCAGCCGGGACTCCGGGCTGACAACATCTGCAGCCCCCGCTCTCTTGGGCTCCTCAGAGCTGTGTTTCTTATGAGAAACGGTTCTCTTGAGGTTAGACTTCTTCTCCTGGGATTTCTTCCTGAAGGCTGGTGCTGGGTTCTGTGGAGCCACCTCTGGCTGAGAGACCAGGAGTTGCTGTGGGGGAGATGAGAGAAACTGAGTCAGGCCCCTGACTTTGAGGAGAGAGAAAAGCTCCTTGGGAAGCAACTCAATAGCAACCAAAAGCTTCAGGGTGGCCCCAGGCATGGGAGGTGATAGAGCCCTCAGCAGGGGAGCTGGGAGGCCTGGAAGGATGGTAGGCTTGAGCAGGAGCGGGAGCGGGAGGGGGCGGGGGAGGGGGTGGTGCAGAAGGAGAGAGCAGGCCCCTGGGCAGCGGCAGGCAGTTGGCGCCTCACCTCCCCTTCCCACTGGTCTCCCACTTCTCGGAGCACTTGCACTATCATCCGGATGATAGTCTCCTCTGAAAGAGAGTGAATGTACTGGTTAATCTTTCTAGATGCGCAGAGCATGCTTTCTAATGGACTTCTGAGACCAACTGGGCCCTTCTGTGTTAAATGAGGGTCCTCCTAAAACAGCCCTTTAGGCCACAGAAGTGGCAGAAGCACCACATCCCAGAGGCTGGTCCTTCTGAGAGAGGGCTGGAAACTCCACAGGGAACGGTACTAGGCCAAAGAAAATTTTAGGTCAGTCCTTCAGACATTAAATTTGTGCCCCATTATTTCCTTAGAACTTTACAGATCTGTGAATATCTGCTTTGGGTTCAGTAAGCTGTGTGACCTTGGGTAAATTTCTTGATCTCTCTGGACCTTCATCTTTTCCCCTGTGAAATGTGGATCATGATCCCTGTTCTGCTTCCCTCAGAAGACTCTCAGGTCATCAAATGAGGGGCTGTGCTTGGAAACACTTTGCAAAGCTGATGCGGACATTCCAGCCTGCAATATTCCAGTCCGAGAAATGGTGGAAGCCTGGCCTAAGGTGGAGTTAGAGGAAGGAGGGGCTCCAGCTACAGGACACAGACAACCTGCCACATTGATGCCTCAACCACACCACCAAGTCTTCACAGAGAAGCTATAAGCAACATCAATGGTTTTCTTTGATACTCCACCCAACCTCTGCAAAGACAATGTGCTCAGAGTGGCCTCTGCTAGCTGCCAGCTGGCGGATGAGTATACACCGAAGGAGGTGCTCACGAGATTTCCTGTCCTCAGGGCGTCAGCAGACTGTTTCACCCCTCACTCACCTCCCTCACTTCTCTCTCATTTATAAACCCTGCATGGCTCAGTCTACCAGTTGATTTCCTCTCATGTGAGAAAACAGCATGTAAAATAAACATCCTTCCCAATAACCAACTGAACGCCTTTTAGTTATCCTTTGACAGAGGATAGATCCTCTGTTTCATATCTTTAAAAATATGCCCATTCTTTACTGGGAATTAGATTAATGGAACATTATTGATTTTATTAGGGATAATAATAGGACTGTGGATGCGTATGAGACCGTCCTATTTCTTGGTGACCTGTGCTTAAGTATTTAAGAATGAATACTAAAAATAGTTCAGCAACAAAAGTATACACACATGCATGTGCAAAGCAAAGCAAATATGGCCGACTGTTAACAACTGTGAGTATATGAGTGTGCATAGAACTATTCTTCCCACTCTTCTGTTTATTTAAATATATATAAATTCCATATTCCTCTATTCTAAATTCCTTTTATAAATTTAAAGAGACCAAAAAAAGTCCGATGCTTATAAACACATAAGCAGGAGCATTTACCAGCAGCTATTTTTACTCCCGAGACGCCCTTCTGTGAACCTCTAAAATAAGTAAATGTGGCCAGAAGCACCAAAAAGGGCAAGATCAGCACATGCACTTTGAGAGCTACCGCTTAAGGCCACAGCAGTTGTCCAGAGCAGTCCGCCTCATTCAGCAATGGCCACCCCAGCTGCAAGCAAAGAGGACACAGTACATTCTGACTCACGGTCAAGCTTTTTGAGATCCTCTTCCTGCCAGTGGCCTGTGGCTTGGGAAGAAGGTGCTGAAGGGCCAGCATCCCGGCCTTCGATAAGCAAGGATTGGTGGAGATCAGAATCCTCCCCGCCTGGAATAAAGATGAAAGCAAATGTGGGTGTGTGGGGGCGTGAGGGGTATGTCAGTGACAATCTTCTGATACGAGGAAATGGCACAGAATTCCCAGCAGGAGGGCACTGCTGTCACCAGCTCTAGTCCTGACCCAAAATTCAGAAACCCACCAGGGTTTCCATTTGAAAAGAGGCTGCCTCAACCCAGGCCTCCTTCCCTCCACCCCCCAAAAATATCCTGGATCTTCCTTGAGTCTCTTCTCTCCATTTAAACACACTCACTTTTCAGTGCTACAGGGCAAAGCTCCATCTCCCTCCATGTGCCTGTGGGGCATTCAACTCCAGGACGCTAGGAGTCAGAAAGGGAAGGCACCTCGGGGACCAGCTCCCTCTTTTTACAAATGAGGAATCAAAGGTTCCAGGCAGGAGCAGCAACTTGCTCAAGATCACACAGCAAGTTTATTCCTGAGGGAGCCAAGACTAGAACCAGCACCCCAGGAGCTGTCTCTGTCTACCTCGCTGACACCCAGCCCCAGTCCTCACAGATGGACTAGTGTGGAGGGTAGGGCTTCCACCCTCGCGTCCCTCCCTGCCTTCGCATTCCTCCCTGGTCCCTGTTTAGAGTAATCAGCAATAAGAGTTATCATTTATAGAGCATTTCCATGTGGCAGCTCTGGGCCACAGCCACTTCCAAAAAGTTAAGGTTCAGAGAGGAAAGTCGCCAGTGCCTAGTCACACAGCTCATTGGTGGTAGAAATGCCTCAAAGAAATTAAACAGTGCTGTTGTTCCTGAGAGTTGTCCTACCATCCACACCCCCTCTGTTGAGAGGTTTGGGGAGTCAGCTTAGAGCACGCTAGTCCTTCGGGGTGGGGCAATGGGGTTACCATAGAAACAGGCAGTCTGCTCACCCCTGGATCCCGGGCCCAGGTCAGTCTCCTCGGAGCACGAGGCAGCAGCCGTCTTGGGCAGCACTGCCTCTTGGCCTTCGACTTCCTGGTCTTGGACCACCTTGGTTTCCTCATCAACATGTTTCTTATGACCATGTTTCTTGTGGCTGGCCTTCTTGTCATGGGCTTTCTTTTTGAGAGCTGGCTCCTCCCGTGACTCAGAGGTTTCTGTGGGCTGGGGGAAGCCCTCCTTCCCCTTTGCTCTCCTGTTGGCCTTTTCTTTGGTCTCCTCAGGGCCTTTCCTCAGGAAGAAGTTCAGCACGGTCTTCAGCAACCCCTGCTGGGCCCGATTCTGGGCCTTGTCCTTCTTGGTGTCCTGCAGAGCCCTCTGCTCACTGGGGAGAAACTCCTTGGTCCCCTCCTGGCTGAGGGCTCTGCCAGTGGCACCCGGAGCCTCTGAAGATCCTGGGCTCTTGGGACACCCGCTCCCATCACTGGTGCTCCTTGGAAGCGCCGGCCTGGAGGGGGTGGCAGGCAGGGAAAGGTACTGGCAGTCCCACAACTCTGAGTCCTTCCTGGAGTTCGGCGGTCTGTCCAGAGACCTGGCTTTTCTCCCTGACAGAGGCTTCCTGGGGCCCTGCGGACACTCCATTGTGCTACAATCAAAACAAAGAGCTCCCTTAGAAGAGGTAGACTGGAGACTGCTCGGGTGGGCCAACATGGTGACGAGTGTGTGCATACACCCTACCCTCTAACACAGTGATTGCAGCTCTCAAAGAGGTTGTCCCATTTTCATTCCTCAACAACCCTAGGAGGGACGTGTGTCCTTGCCCCCATTTTCCAGAGGAGGAAACTGAGCCACAGGAGGTCATGCCCCAGGTCTCACGGTGCCCTCTCCTCCCACCCCTGGAGCCCCCAGAAGGAACACAGCCCTGCCAACACCTTGATTTTAGTCCATTGAGACTGATTTTGGACTTTGGATCTCCAGAAGGGTAAGTTAGTTAATTCATATTGTTCCAAAGCCCCTGAGTTTGGGGTATTTTGTTACAGCAGCCATAGGAAATGAACAGAGCTGGGAAGCCCAGGCCTGCCCCTTACCAGCCTCGGGACTTGGGCGGCTCACACACGTGTTCTGGCCCGATAGCCTCATCTGTCCTGGGCCTGAGACCTGCCTGTCTATCTCATTAACTGCTCAGGATATTTCCCAAATCACTTCAGTAAATGGCAACTCTGTTCTTCCAGTTGCTCAAGACAAAAATTTGAAGTGATCCCTGATTCCTTTTTTTCTCCCTCTCCCCAAATTTGATCCACCAGCAAAGCTTTTTGGTTCCACTCTCAGCTGCGTCCAGACCTCAGTCAACCATGTCTCCTCACCTCCTCCACCTCCGCTCAACCAGGACTATTTCAGCCACCTCCTAACTGGTCTCCTGCTCTATTCATGTCCTCCTTACAGTGGTTTCTCCTTGCAGCACCACAGGACTTATCCAGCGTAAGTTAGAGAAATTAACTTTCCTACCTCCAATGGCTCCCCTTTTGCCCAGAGTCAGAGTCAAAGTCCTGACAAGACCTCATGACCTGGTCTCATTGCCTCTCTAGTCACCTCTCACTCTCTCCACTCCAATCACACAGCCCTGCTCATTCTCAGGCCCACTCTGCCTCTTTCTAGAACGTTCTTCTCCAGGACAGCCTTATAATTTGTTCACTCCCTGCCTTCAGGGATCTGCTCAGATGTCACCTTCCCATAGAGATCCTCCCTGTGCACCCCATTGGCGCACCCTTTCCCCGCCTTACCTCATCACCCAATGTTTAATTGTTTGTTGTCTGAGCCTCTCTCCCTCCCCTTTGCCTATTGTACTAGGCCTTGTATCCTCAGTGCCTAGAAGAATAACTGTACATCAGAGGCACTCAGTAAGCACTTATTAAACAAAGGAATAAATGTACACCACAAACTGCAAACTGTACAATACACAGGGTATCTCTGGTTGTGTGGTAACAAATAAAAACGCATCAGGACCTTTGCCATCTTAGAGCGGCAGGGACCCTTGTTTTCTGCGTCCTGAGTGCACCGCCTGTGGGAAGACAGAGGGGCCCGCTCCTCCTGGCAGCACTCCAAGCCGCCCGGGTGCGCACAGTTCACTTCTGTGTCTTTAACCTGAAATTCCTGGGCTTTCCAATTTTTCCAAAGTTGTTTAGAAACTTTTTGTCCTTTGATGGAAGATAAACAAAAAATAAAATATAGTTTTGAATCCCAACCCCGAGCTCCCAGAGATTCCTGTGGAGTTTAGATCCATGGATTGCCTGCTCTAATTCGTAATTATAGACTTACCATGCATTTACTTAGTATAATTTAGTGTTGTATTATATATTAGGTATGTATTTACATCTTATCTCCTGCACTTACTAATTCACTTACTTTAAAATGTACTCCAGTACTATGTCCAGCTTAGAGACAGGAATAAGACTATAATTGTGATTTCAGATGTGGAGGAATTCATGGGAATGTGAGGAAGACATGAAGAGAGAAGAAAAGGCATGGCCGAACAAGGGGAAATTGGAAGGAGACAGTGACATTCAGGATGCCTTCCTCTCTCCTCCAAGCACAGGTGTGGGGAGGAAGGACTAGGCAGGACGGCCAGGGGCCAGCGGCTACCACCGGCACCCCTGGGCCTCCGCATGTGCACAGCCTTGGGGGAAAAGACAAAATGGGCCAGGGAGAAGGCAGGCAGCTGGGAAGGCTTTATCTGTTGTTTAATGTCCCTTAAGAAGATCATTTGAGTTGTACAAAAACTTTTAGCAACACATGCCCGTGCCTCATGTGAGGCGCGGACTAGTGTTCTCGAAAGCCTTAGAGGCGGCCTTAGGGTTGTGCTTTCAAAACACAGAGTGGAGCAAGGTAAGGAGAAGGAATCACAGGAGGAGATGCTTGTCCTCCTTCTCATTTCTTTTTTTCAACAAACATTTAATAAGCACCTACTGTGCACAGGAGCTCAGTGCTAGGGAACTAATGATGCCCAAGATGCAGGTGTCTCCCTCCAGGAGGCTCCGGCCGTCGGTGGGAGTGGGGACGCGAGGGAGTGCGGATGACAGTGATCCTCTATTTCCCTGACCCCCTCTCTCTGCAGTAAGACGTGCTCTAAAGAGAAGACAAATTTAGGTCGAAGCTGTACTTGATTTTAAAATCTAAGTAAGCTGGGCCAGAAATAATTGCTGAGTGGTGTCAGGGCCCTCTCTGATTTCCCCGTGTCCTGTGCTCTGGAACACGCAGGACGCCCTTGTTGGACTCAGCCCCTCTCCCTCCTGCTCTAACTTGGCTTGAGAGAGCCTGCGGCACGGAGGGCTGGAGCACCCTTCCCTAGCTAATGAGAAAAGAGGCGCAGTAATCTTCAAAACCTGTCATTGCTATGGAAACCGTTTTCGCCATTGCTGATGGGGGCAGTATTCTACCGCATTGGAGGGACACGCTGCTACTTTTAATCAGAGCATCAGTACATCACTGGCAGTGATTTTTTTTCAAAGAGACTCTCTTGATTTGGCCACCCCCTCCTTGGAACAGCAGTGACCTGAGCCCAGGGGGCGGTGGGGGCGAGGGGAGGGGCAGCTGCAGCTGCAGCCGCAGAGGCAGAGGAGGCGGGACAGGTGATGTGAAACCCTGGCCATACAAGAGTGTTTCCCCCCTGAAGAGAGACTCCAGGATCTCCCATGGCCTCAATTCCAAATCCATTCCCCCTCCTCCTTTAAGCTGCTGCTGCATTTGCTACCATATGCACTCTCCCCGCAAACTTTTTCCTCCCTGGGCAGCTGTGACTAAGCTCAGCCTGGCTCCCCTCCCACCTGTCTGATGCTCCTCCGCCTTAAAGTTTCCAAGAGTCTGCCTTCCTGCTTTAGGCCCCGGGGGCTAAGAGAGTGCACACCGCCCCCTCACCCCGGGAGACACTACGGAAGAGCCTCTCTCTGACCCATGCATCCTCGGACTTTAATGTTTCTAAGCCCCAAGAAGTCCGTGTTTTCTCTCACACAAAAACCAAATTCTGTGTGTGCTGAAATGAAATCTTTCCAGACTTTTGATGCCTGACTAGAATTTATCCATGCGAGACTTTTTTTTCCTTCCTCTTTTTTCTTGTTCTGTGCCCCTGTTTTGCCTGAGAGGCCACCCACATGCCACCTGGCTGCCGGGGAGGATGGGCTTCCAAACCAGTAACCCCAAGACAGCAGCAGATCCTCACCGCGTGGAAACCGAGCTGTTCTTGTAAATTTGTTTATCACCTTGGCAGAAAGTGGTTTCAGAACAGAGTCCAAGTCTGCTCAGAAATACCCAAGTGATCTACAGACCACAGGCCCTCTGATAAGACAGGACGCAGAGCTGACTTTGAATAACTCTGGAGCCGAAGTTTGCCGATTTTTCCCAAGCATGCTGCCATTTTGGTTTATTACCTTAGTATACACCGACCTCAACTGTATACAATTCTCTCACTTATTCACGCGACTGCGTTACTCTGTAACTGCTCCAGTGCTGGACATGTTTCCTGGATTTGCCGCTGCCCTCTCCACCCCTGAAGTCCACACAGTGGAATTTAACAAATAACCTTCGACAGTGTATATGGCACACACATGTGGACCCAGTGTCACATTCATTGCTATACACTGAATGTTTGTGCCCCTCTCCCCAAATTCACTGTTAAATCCTAACGCCCAATGAGTTGGTACTAGGAGATGGGGCCTTTGGGAGGTGGCTAAGTCATTAGAGCAGAGCCCGTGGGAACTGCGTTAGGGCCCTTACAACGGACATCCCTGAGGGCTCCCTTGTTTCTTCCATTATGTGGGGACACAGAGGGAAGCTGATTGTCTATGAACCAGGAAACCTTTGCCATACACTGAACCTGACAGCACCTCAGTCTCAATCCTCTAGCCTCCAGAACTGTGAAAAATAAATTTCTGTTGTTTATAAGCTGCCCAGTTTGTGGTCATTTTTTATAGTAGCCCGAGTGGGCCAAGACACTCACTGTCGCAGAAATACACTCACCTGCACCATAAACCTACAAGGACTCACATCATAGCACCTTGTAGTTTTCCTGCCCCAAGTTCAAGAGAATAATTACCTGAGCATCTGTTTGCCATCTACCTTCCTAACTCCAAGTTCCTGAGAGAGGATATGAGCCTGCGTGGTCCCATGCCGTGTCCACACTGCCTGGTACATTCTCGGGGTTTGAGGAACAAATAAATGATACGCAGACAGACACACACATGACCAGCTCACCTGTGTGCTGCCACACAGCACCCAGAATGCCCTTCCATCTACGTTATCTCATCCTATCCTGGCCCTGCCCTGCCAATCAGATAGGCTGCAGTGGGGAACAGAAGCTCCAGAGGGTTAGGAGACTTGCCCAAGGTCCCATAGCCTGGAAGCAGAGAGAGTTGGGGCTTAAGTCCACTTCTCTGGATTCTAAATTCTTTATTCTCTCCTCTACATCTAGGGGCCTCCAGTAAATACAGACACACACACCCCCACGGAGACTTAGAGGTGAGCAAAGCTGCTATTTCACCCTGACAGAGATAGCTGCATCTATGCATATACCCGCTGTGACTGTAAGCACTGACTCACACACCACGCGTACCCAGGTGTGGACACACCTGTGCCCCAGAAACAGAGATTGTCGAC